CGGTTCTTGAAGCTCCGGAGGGTCCTTCGGCTGCAGCTTGAGTCTTTCCAGCGGCGGCGTTGTCTGATACCTTCCGTACCACCTCCTCGCCGATTCCACCACTTGCTGCCACCATTGCTGTGACGATTCACTGAGGTCCGCCATGATCGGCTCCAGGACGCAAATCCAGTCTCCCAGGTCAATGGGAGCACTCTCCGGCTTATACTCCACGAGCTTCGGCAAATCCGTTGTGACATTCTTCACCGTCTCGCTCGTGTCATCGCCGTGGTCCACCTTCTTCTTGGTGTCCAACATCTGCTGCTGCATGTTCTGGATGCCCTGCACAATCTTCAGCATGATGTCCAGGGACTTGTCCTTCGGGCCCGTCGGCTCGTCCTCACGCAGCTCCGAGGACTCTTCCTCAGGATCAGCAGGTTCACCTCGAGTTCCACGGCCTTCAGGGGTTCCATGTTCCTCAGGCGTGGCAAACCTGTCACTCTGATCACCTCCTCGAGTGGCCTCCACCTCCGGCGGTTTCCAGTTCTGCTGCATGTCCTGGACTTGGCTGAGACATTGCCCCACCTCCTGGTGCAGCCTCCGGTTATCCGCCAGGATCTGTGCCATGTAATAGCGCATCTCCTGCATCGGATCTGGCCATTGAGCATGCCGTCCTGGTTCAGGTAGTCCCGGCTGTTGCCGCGTTCCTTGATCTTGCCATTGAGCAAGCCGTGAGCCTTCAAGATGTCCCCCAGGTCCAAGAAGCACCAGCTGCGGCCCCAGTTCTTGCCGTTGAGCAGGCCGTGGGCCTTCAGCATCTCCCGCTGGTCCTGGTAGGGCTAGATGTTGTGCTGCCAGCGCCAACTGCCTTTCCACCTGCATGCCCTCATTGGACCGCTGGATGTAGCCCTCAAAACCTCCATGGCCTGTTGCAGCTCCCGTTGCGTGAATGAGCGGAGCTTCGGCTGTCCACTCATCCAACCTTCTCATCTGCTCCGGAGTGAACAGCTCGTTCTCTGCCGGCCCAGGCTGAATCGACGATGGCTCCCCCTGCGGCCCTCCAGGCCATTGGGTCGAAGCTGCCGCCTCAATCAACCCATCCGGCCTGGCTATCAAGGCAGGTTCCTCCACCTCCTCCACCACTGGGCCGACTCGGCCTCCGGTTCCCTTTCCGTTGTTCTCCAGGGTGGTCCTTCTCCGGGTCCTCCCTGAGTCAGCGCCATCCATGGCGCCAGTGTCACACCGCCTGACTTGGGCTCATAACCTGTGAATCTGGCTATCAGTCCGGCGCACTTTTGTCTGTGCGCTTCGAGTCCAAAGCGGCTTCCGGATCCGCTCCTAATCTCAAACCTCAAGCAAGGGGCCTCAAAGTGGCTACCCTCAATCTGTTTTGGAAAACCTGCACCTTTAACTTTCGTCATTGGCAGGTTTAAAGGAACAGAGTTTGTGGGATCTCTTTTGTGCTGAGATTTCCTTTGCAGGGTTATGCTTTAGATTGCATATGCAGCTCCAATGACTGCGTGTCTGAAAAGGTGGATGGCGCTAGGGTGGGCGTGGGATACATTTGCACAAGTGAACAGCTTGGGGTGAAATGTGGGGCATGATGCAGTTGATGGATGTAAGCTGCGCGTGGTTGAGCGCGAGGGGGATGGCTTGGCAGGGGAAGTCTATTCCAGATGCGCTTGCATATAGCTCCCTATAGCTCCCGAAACTGATATATTTTTGGGACTGTTGTCGTGTGCCCCAAGAGTTGGGCCAAAAACTTACGGGTCACAACTAGGTTGCCTCTGTTTCGGATGCGGCGTTCACCGAATTGTTCTTCCTGGCTCTTCCCAAAAGTGGGTAGCTCAGAGGAAAAGGGCGGTGTAATCGCGACATCGACATAAGACGCACCGATCCCGCCGAGGGTACTGCCAGTAGGAAGCGAAAACGGTGTGGCTCTCTAGGGACGACTCTCACGAAAAGCGTGGGGCGCAAGCACTTTCATTTGAACCCCAATTCCTGACAAATGTTCTTCGTCAGGGGAGGCCGATTCACTTGCAAGGTTTGGGTTTGCGGAGGCCGTCTTTAAAAGCACAGAACCCCTGGCTTGTAAGAATGCAATAAAGGTTGCCATGTTCGTCCCAAACAAAACTTCCCTGTAGGCAGTCCATTCAGTTCTTCTTGCTGCTTCCGAACACCTTCGCATCTAGCACTCAATGCGACAGTATCCGATGTCAGCCTTGCATGGTCGCCCAGGTGTTTTCAGTTTCTTTGGCATTGCTGCATTGCTGCTGTGATGGTTTGCTGTTGCTTTCCCACAAGCCCTGTTGTTCTACTGACTTGTGTGTCACTTTGATTGAGTTTTTTTTCCAGGTAGGGCGACTGCTGGAATTGGTTTACGACTGGTGGAATATGTTTTGTGGCGCTGTTGATTGAGTCCGCCCAGGCTGGTGGCGAAGCATGGCCAGATCTTGAAGGCCCAAAGCTGGCTGGTAGGTTGCCTGCTTGTCCAGAACCTAGTTTCCCGAAGCGAATCAACTCGAGAAAGCTTGATGGTTTGCCCCTTTGTGCATTCCTAGGTATTCCTAGTCACCGTTCGTCAGCCGCATCGGACTGTTAAAGCTGCCCATTCGTTCAAGTGGTTCAGGATGTTCAGGTGGGTCCTTGTTTGATACACGCCCATGCCCTTGGCGCTTAGTCCCATGTGGCCGGGGCCACTTAGCGGCAGACTCCTTATGGTTTGATTTGGCATTTTGACTCCTGGCTACTCCTGTGAAGCTTTCGCAACATGTTTTCGCACTTGGTCCACATGCGCCATTTTCGATGGGTCTACTTTCATTCAGTTTCCCTATTTCCTTTCCATTGGGGTGCTCTGGGGTGTAGCATGCTGGATGTTCGGCCCAGGGTTCTGAACTGTAGAGGTGTCCAGATTTAGATCTCCACAAGGTATCCACAAGGTATCAGATATCAGGTGAAGCCTGGGATGGGCTCGCCGCATCCGGTCCCAATGTGGTCCCTTCGGTGCTAGTGGATCGACAAACGTGGCGCGAAAAGAAGACCATGGCATTTTTATCGGCTGCTGAGTAACAGTGTGCCTGGGAATTTTTCGAAGCTGCTACCAGAACCACCCGCCTAGCCCAAGCATGCAGCAATATGCAGCACGCAATGGTGCGAATCAAGACCAATGGAATTGCAATGCGGAAAAACATGCAACCTCCCTGAGTGCGCCTTAGCAGCTGAACAAGGTCAGATGGCAACACTCTGCAGAGGACGCTTGCTTAGTTTGCATGACATGCTGCTTGATGCAACCGCCGTGTTTAGTCCAGGTTGAATCCCTTTTGCTCTAACCTGAGTACGTTTAGTCAGCAAAAAACAACATGTTGACAACTCAAATGCATAATATCTCTCACTTACACGTTCTTGAAGCAGCGACCGCCTCCTTGAAGATTCAAATGCAGGCAAACAACACGGAACCAGCTGGGTTGGAAACTGTAGCGACCTCACAAAGGGCCCTTGTGTTCTCGCCCATCATGAATTGTCCTTTATTGGGTTCTCTTCTTTGAAACTTCTAAATGATTATGACTCCAAGCAAGCAAACAAGCGGAGAATTGGGAGAAAACACAGTGGAGACCTAGCGCTTCTATGGTATCCATGTTCAGCTCGAGCCCCGAAATCGAGCGCCAGGCTTGGCGCTTTGCCATGGACAAGGACGGGTCCAACAGCCCCTTGGTGATCACGTCGGGGAATGGGGGCAATTTCAGGTCCGCCTTGCAGACTAGGACCTCATAGAGCCCCAATTATAGTCCCATGACCAAGTCTTCTCCAGTCTCATAAAGAGTTACTTGTTGAAGGGGGCAGCTGGAGTTGCCCTGGCACGCGTGAAATGACCCCACCATGTCAAACAATAGGTTTGATATGGCTTGGCATGGCTTGATATAGTTTGATATGGTTTGATATGGTTTAATTTGTGGTTTCACGTCCTTCCCGGCTAGGCACCATGGACGCAGGCGAGGGTCGTGCTCGGTCTGGCTTTGTTTTGTTTATTTGCCTTGTCTGTGACAGATGTCTTGGCAGAAGCTTTTCACACTTTTGCCAGTTTGTCAAGTGTCACGAGGCTTGGAGAATCGCCGTGAATCTTTTAATTGCCGGGCTCTTTGGAAGGCTGCTCAAATCTGGAAAGCAAGCCAACCTAACCGAAGCTTGCGCACGTGTTGAAAGTTTCGTCCCATATTGGTCTCCGTGGAAATATTTGACTTTGTGGGCTGTTTCCCTTTTGTTACGCAAAGCCATCCCTTGACCTTTGCTTCCTGTGTTGACTCAGGCACAGAAGCGGCTGACACGCGCTTCCGAATGTTCAGCTTTCTTGTGACAATTACCTGTTCTGACTCTGGGATGCTTTGGGAATGTGCTTGAAATTGCTACATCACGTTCGCTGTTGCTTGCTTTGGTTTTTATCAAAACACAATGAATCGTTCCCTTTGTCTACCGTTCGGGCCGGGTTGGAGCCTCATCTCTGGCCCCAGGCTGCAATTGGCATGAGTTCCAAGAGGCGGGCGATGTCTTCGGCCCTTTCCTGCCTCGCCGGGGTTCTTCTCTTTGTTCTTGACATGTAATCAAAGAAGTATCAAACATGTCCGTTGCTGCTGTTCCCAGATGTACAATCGGCCTTATCTTTCCCACCACACTTTGAGGACCTACCCTTCCTCTCCAAAGGTCATCTTGTGCTTGCGCTGTAAGCCGGGTTGCGTTTGGAAGCTTGGGGTGACATCCATCAACTCGCCGGTGTGTGGCAGTGACTGAGGAGTGCCATGTTTTAGGAAAAGCCAGTGCCTTCTGAGAATTCAGAAGAGAGAAACCCTTTTGAGGGGTTCCTTGTTTGCTTACAATCATGAGTAGATGAACGAATCCTCTATAGGCGGAATGAGCGCCGGCCGCAACCGGCCTGAGTTGTTCAAACGAGCCATGCAGAACACCAGTTTGACTTGGTCCGCCCCCCCCCCCCTGGGCCAGGGAACCGGGAAGGGAGGTCCGGGGGACCGGAGGCGGCCAAGTTGGTGCGGTTCCACGGGAATTTGGCGGCCGCCTGGCTGGCGCTGGACGCAGACCTCTCCGGCTCCATCTCTCTCAAGGCGCGCGAGCGCGCGCGCGTTTCGGCGCCTCGAAGCGGTTTGGAGGCTCGGAGGCCTACAGGGAAACGAAGCGAAGCTTGGCGGAATTTGGACTATGTTTCCCTTATCGTACGGCATATGCGTCGATGAGCATGTTGTGAACCAGGGTTGGCTTCAATGAATTGTGAGGTCTGTTTGTTTGCAGGCCATGATGACTTTCTGTCGTGGATAAGAATGGGGAACCTCAAGAAAGTTGCTACAATGGCAATCTCTCACCATCTCGCCATGATAAGGAGGAGTTTTTTGACACTGACTGATCTTGCAATTGGATTCGTAGCGTACCGCGCTTCCTTCATCGCATGTAACATAGCATTCAGCGGCCCCCTCCCACTTCCAGGTGGAGGGGGCACCTGGGGCCAAGCATTTGATATGATTCCCGTGAAAGTTCAAGCGCCTGTGGGTGTGCAGAGAGCAGATCTCAATTTCACAGGATTGCGGGGTGCATCTACCGGTTTGGTTGGGTCTCTATTTCCCCCTGGTTTGTAGAAGTATCCTGACCCGCGGTAGGCCCTCCTCTTGGGCGAAGAAACAGAAATGGGCATCCTTCCAACTTGTGGACACCATGTTGCAAGAGAACATTGCGGTTTCGAGGTTGTTTTCATTAAAAGCCTGGTGGATGGCTTTCTCAAGGGCTCCTGCAATTGCCAATTTGTTGCTGTCAAACCTATGTCAAAAAAGGACTCGACTGCCATGTTGAGACTTACATTTGCAGGGAAAGTTGAAGCACCATATCAGCTGTCACGCAGGCTATACCATTCCATTGGTGGATTGGGAAAGCCGCACAACAAACAAAGAAGCACGTCTCCTTTTGCAACGTCCAGTAAAGGTGAGGGTCGCATTTTTTCTCAGGGACCCTAGTAAAAAGGGAATCCGAGTTTGGGTTGGTTATTTTAGTGGGAACCCAGCAGCCAAGCGACAAAAACAACCCCTTTCATGCGTTTTTGCCCCGAGTATACCTTTGCGGCTTTGAACAATCAATTGAATTCAGTCGTGAATGTGAGCTGCTTCTTTGGGGGGGGGGGGGGGGGGAATCAACGCAGACAATTGAATGCAGTTGCAAAAGGCCACAAAGAACCACAGGTTTCTAAGCCAAGATGTCGCCTTTGCTGGTTGGCAGAGAGATCCTATTGCCCGGACTAGTGCATAGGCAGGGGCCTTTTTATGCAACTTTCATCAAGTTTTACATGGTTTCCTTCGATTGGTAACAGGCATCGTGTGTAGCAGGGGGCGGGCAGCATGATTTCCAGTAGGGTGATTTTGCAGTCGATTCGATGTGGGACCATCAACCCGACTTGGACTCGGCGGCCGGCCGTAGGAGATCGATGAGGAGCGATTGGCGATGGCGATGCTTTCTTGCTGGAGTAGGTGTCAACTGGACCAAGGTGTAGACATATAATAACATTAGCACTTCTTAATGTATATATACATATATATATATAGTATGTATGTACAGGTGGATTGGGCACTCCGATTCCTAGCTCTACTTGAGGGATGCGAAGGTCTTGGCCTGCTGTTTGTCACACCAACGCTTCCATGTACGTTGCCTTTAGGGGGTGGAGTTTCTGTTGGTTTACCGGGCTCGGGTGGGGTTGCCTGGAACGCCCGTCAGAGGCCCTACAAGCGCGAAAGGATCTCGAAGCATGCATTTTCACTTGAGGGGCTTTGAACGAGTGAGTGCTTTAGGTTGATGCAATGTTGAGCACTTGTTAGTCCGTTTGTGAGCGGGCGTGAACAAAGAGATTGCCAAACGCTCTCTTCCAGATTCATTCCGATGTCTATTGGAGGGCTATGTTGGATTTTGTTGGGGGTCATCCGCAAATTCCTGAATGTCATATCCCAACCCGAGTTCGCCCCCCTTTTTTCCCCAAAAGGCCTCAGAGCAATGGGCTTGCGAGCAGTTAGGGAAGGAGCTTTGGATGAAGCGGCTTCACAGCATCAGCAACTTAGCCCATCACACAACCACACCTTTCATAACTTGACTAGCCCACGGCGAAATGTGGCTTGTCCAGAAAGCCACATGATTCCAACCGAGCACATAATATAGTCGTCCATTCAGCCTGTGACCAAGGCACGCAGGCGGTTCAGAGGTCGTTCTTACACAAAGGCTGAGTAGTCGCAAGTGTAGGCATTTGTTAATTTATGCAAGATGAACATGTTTGAATCCAGCTGCCCCTTTCATAGCGATGCATGGTGGCTTGGTTGCCCAGCAGGTGTTGCTCGCTCATTTGTCCCCAAGCAGACAACCAGGAAATGCTGAAAGTTATCTTCCCATTTAGTCACCCAGTTTGGTGGATGTCATGGCATCACTCCCCCCATAAACTTGTTGCTTATTGAGTTCCTTCAAGGTCGGTTGCCTTCCCTGAAAAAAGGCTGTGCGTTTTTTCGCTGAGACTTGCGCTCTTTCAGGTTGTGCTCTCAGGGGTGGCCGGTTCTCCCAGACAAGGCCACCCTTCCATTTGGGGGGCCGTGTCAGGAGGCCAATGAGTGCCTGGTGGAGTTCAAGCGCTGGGCAGATTCTGAGTTCGGGGGGGTGCACAGCACCTTCAAGGCTGGCCCATCCCCAACCTTACTTTCTTTGGCCCCAATTCTAGTTGCAATTTACTGATGGGTTGCATATGGTTGCATTGAAACTGCCACTAGGGGAAAATTGAGGGACCTGATAGGTTTGTTCTTTCACGTGGTACTTCTCACCCTGAAGGGTTCCAAGGCTTTTTTGTGGAAGGGTCGAAATGAGGAAAAGTGGCTTGGCCTTGTTGGGAGATCAGGACACATTTCCACGAGGTAGGTTGTTGGACCGAAACAGGTTCTGAAGCATCTCTCAAGAGTCTTGATGGATCAAGGCGTTGAGATCGCTCAAGCGTATGTTGACGGCGGCTCGACACAACGATTGTTCACCAACATATGGGCGCTTTCCAACGCTTTCCAAGGCTGTCCCAGGCTTCAGGGTAGTGTCATGGAGAACTCGTTCCTTTGCACATGGGCGTGGTTGTGGCTAGCTGGCCGCTTTGAAGTTCGGGCTGTTGTCAATCAACAGCATTGCCGAAAGTACTTCCAGGTGAAAAAGGCGGTGCAGCCGTACTAGAAGTGGTAACTCACCCCCGTTCCAATTTGGAGGTTGTGGCTCGGGGGGCAATGGACTTTCTTCGGCTCTCCTGGGTTGGGACTTGTCCGTGGAAGATGGCAGAAACTCTCTGGGGAGGTGTTACTTCTTGTTTGTTTTTACAGCAGGCACTGCCCTTGTTGTTGAAATGCTAGAGATGTACAGGCAAACACATTTCAATCATTGAAGATGATCGTCAAATGTTTGGAATGATTATATGTATAGAGATCCACATATATATATATATATATGTATATATAATTATATATGAATTGAACTATTTACCGCATGCATGTTGTTTGGCTTGTGTTTTTTTCCTATTCAATCACTGTTTTGCTCTAATCTGTTTATCCATCTACCCCGCCAAACCACTGGCAACAGGTTGCATTTGATTCAGGTGTTTTACATGCTGGGTGCAACCCCCGGAGGTGGAACAGTTGGTCCCGGGTTCACTTTGGGAGGGAACAACTTGCGTCAACCCTCCAGGTCCTGGACTCCGATGGGTCCGGGTCCCTGAACTTCAGGGAGTTCAAGGCGGCCTGCAGGAGCCATTTGGGTCGGAACCTGCCTGGTCCATTGGGCGGAGGGGGGAGGGGGGGGGGAGGGGGCTGAGGGGGGCTAGAAGAATCTGCTTTGGAGCAGTTCGCTGGTAGCGTCTCATCATCCGCAGGACTTATGGCTTCACTGGAGACTGCACCTTGGCGGCCTTTGGTGAGCTGGCTGTCCTGTTTCTGTAGTAACCGACGCTACAGAACACTACCTTGCAACATGTATGCATGTTGCGCTGTGATTCATACCGCAGTCCTACTTGTTACTTGCCCCAGGCTCCTTTCTGTTGCAAGCGGCCCGTGGATTCAGACCGTTTGTGGGCCTGGACAGCATGGCCGCTCACAAAGTTGATCTCAGCTGAAACGAACTGACCGGATGCCACTGGTTTTGCCTGTGCGCATGGCATGGCCGCAGAGGTGATCTACGATACCCGGACACACACACACATACAAAACAGCATTCCGTGGCTACAAGCAGCTTTTTGGGAACGCGGCATGTTTGGCATTTGATTGGATTTGTTGTTTGCTTCAGGGGAACAGGTTCGTGCCCCAGGGGGCATGCGACAAGCATAGTTTAAAAGAAACATGGGGGTGAAGGATTGCTACATGGATATTGCTATGGTTTCTATGTTTTCTTCTGGACTTTCACTTCCCCGCCAAGTCTTTACTATTCCTATGCGGTTGCTTGGTGGGGCTTGAGTTCCCACCTGGGGGATGTGTTTTGAGTTTGCATCAGCAAGGATCTCACGACAAATGTGTTACCAATGCTGGGGATCATCACAGGAGTTGGATCCTTCCAGTTTGTCCAGTCACAAATTCTAGTTCTCCCCACCTCAATGGGCGTAGCGTGCTGTTCGTGTAGGCCGCCCTACATGAGGCTTGAGTTTGGACCATTCCCCATAAACCCAAACTAGGGCTTTAGTGCCTCAGCTGAACATGGCGACTGTTTGTCACAGGCAGGCCGAATACTCCCCTGCAGATTCATAGCTCTTTTTTTTGCGGGGGGGGGGGGTGCATGTCACAACTGGACAGACCTTTATTGGCTTGCTTTTTCGGGCTCTGAAGAGGGCTGGAGGGCATGGAATAAGATCAGCGTCACCTGTAATCAACCTTGATCGGCGGATTTTCCAAACATGGTCATGATTTTGCGGCCGCGGCGCCCCCGAATGGTGGTCGCTGATGGTCACGTCTCCATGGACCCGCCAGAGGACATGCACTTCACCGCGGCCAAGCTGTGCCTTGAAGGCGAAAAGCCATGGCAGGGCCTCGCGCACCTCGCCTTCGCGTTCGGCATCGTTATTCTGCAGTTGACGGTCGCATGGTGCTTGTTCAGCACCATGGGCAATACGTACGGAGCCTGCGCAACCGCCAACGACTGCGGAAGAGCAATGTGGTGCACAGTCACGCAGCATCCAAGAAGTTCTTCGGGAGGCATGTGTCTTGGATGCGGCTTTCGCGACGGTTACAAGAAGGACCTTGCAGCCCAATTCTGCCATGTGAACGGCACCGCGTTGAGCAGCGCGGTTGCGGCGGATTTGCAGCTGGCGGTGGAGGCGCCGGATTCGCTGGACACCCCACAGCCGATTTATATGACGCTGACCACGGCGGACGTCGACGCCTTGTGCTCGGATTGTATCAGCCCCCGCGGTTTCATGCCACGACTGGCCAAGATGAATATCAAAGGAATAGGTGTGCGTGAGGGCGTGATGTACGCGCTGGTGGCGGCCGCTTCGGCGCTCTGCATCATGGAGGAATCGCTTGCGCTCTTCAAGACCTTGCTTTACCTCCATCGTGTGCAACTGCCGGATGGTATGAGACTCGGGCTGTGGGGGCACAAGCGTCGAGCTTTACTGCTGCTTCAGACGGCCAGGGTATTCACTTTGGCAAGCGTGCTCATGTGCGTGCCGCTGTTCATCCTGTTCGACTCCGCGGACGGCGTCTCGATTCTTCTCAACACAGTCGCGTGCTTGTTCATCCTCGAGCTCGATAACTTGGCATTTGCATACGGGGTTCGGGAGCTGCAGCGGACTGAGATCCTCGAGCCCTTCACGTGCTCGCTGGCAGATGCGACCAATGTAGAGCGCGCCAAGGAGCTTGTGGCCTTGGCCTCGCTTCTGGGCATCAGCCTGGTGGGGCTTGGGCACGACATGGAGTCAACTTACTTGGTTCTTCCGTGGGCACTGGTCATAATCGCCTGCACCATAGGTGAGGCGCTGCTGACTTGCTGCAAGGGCAGGAAAGGCGTCGACGGCGGTGGCAGAGGCGTCTTTTCGTTATTTAGCACGTGGTTGTTCATCCTCGTGCGCTTGGCCTTGATGTTTGTTCTGACCCTTGCGTACCCGATCATGTTCTCAGGAGGCACGTGGTGGATACCGTACTAAGTGCCACTCCACAAAGCACACGTGAGCAGAAAACTCAAGCGCGCTCGTCAGCCTATGGCATCCCTTAGCTAGGACACCCAATTTTGACATGGCTGTGTCTTAGAATTTTTGGGGTACCCCCTGAAGCCACGCTTTCTTGCATTTCCGATTCCTATTTTGAGACAAACTCTGACTCCATTTTTTTCGTGAGGCAAGCTGCTCTTCCAGTGCCTGGACCAGGGGGAAGGCACCCTTCAGCCCCACGAGGTCTTCTTCCTGGACAAGTGGGTCCTCGATGCGCCTTGGCCCGACCGAGACGAATCCGCGCGGGGGAGAAACGGATGCAATGAGACCAAACAAGCCCTGCGGTTGGGAAGGGTCTTGTGTGACGTGTGCGTGGGTCCTTAAAGTAGCTGTTGTTTTCTGAGCGATGGGCCTCACTTCAGGGCTGTTCTGAGAGCTGTTGTTGGATCAGATGCCCGGGCGAAAACGAGTTTCCATGCTGTTCCGGCTGTTCCATAAGTTGGGTCAAGTACATTGTCAAATCTCCTTGCAGCCTCGCCACAATCTGGCAGCAATGCGAACAACCCGCCGGAGCGACCAAGGACTTGACCGAGCACCTCGGCTTCACTGACCGTTCGTTGTTGCTACATCTTTGCCCATCACCACAGGCTTGCGCGGAAGGGGGAGCCTTTCTCAGACAAGCCCAACATTGCCCATGGAGCATGTATTGATCCGACTCTATCCATGCAAAATAATATGCAGGCCATGCATACACCACGCATACACGCCTTTGTCAGAGAGACATCAGCACAACCGCCTGCCTAGGGATGGCCTGCCGGAGGGCGAGCTTGATAAGAGGCGGGGGTGAAGGGGGGGGGGGGTGGCTGGGCTTTTTTGGGAGGGGGTGAAAGCCAAGGGTAGCAATGCAGGCGCACGTTCCCAAAAGACTCCTGGAAAATGGGGCGGGTAACTATTGTAGGGGTTTCAGCTCATGCCGGTTCGCCCTGGACTGGTTTGCCACTGCGCCACTTTTCGGTTTGCCCTACGGATCTGTAGCCCCTGAAGGAAGATGGTGCAACTTTCTCGTGGATCTCAGGGTTCATTTTATCCGCTGACCTCTATCAAGACCACCCAAATGTGCCGTTTAGCCATGCAAGAAAGGACTTGCCAAGTGCTTCTTTGGTAAAGTCAGCGCCGTCAAAAAGGCAGACTGGCAAGTGCTCACCCTTAGGAACATTCAGAAATGCATGATCCTGCATAGTCCTGGGCATGTGGCTCACGTTGGCATGCTTTGGAGTCCTCTTGGGTTCCCTTCTAAGTTCCTTTGGGACTTCCAAAGGTCGCAGTTTTATTGGAACCCACGAGTTTCTTTGATTACTTGACCAAGTGAAAGTCAGGTCTGCGCACCTGCCTTGCTACGGGATGCACTTCTGATTTGGGGCTTGGTGCAGTTTGACACTGTCAGACGTGCTTTGTGAAGGCTCCAGATTTCCGGCATGGCGTTCAAGCCTCCTTGTGGTGACACTTTCCTAAGGATCTCCCTGCCAGCCACAGCCTGTTGAATTTGACTCGTCATAAATCGCCAGTTCCTGTACCACTCGACCTTATCCTAGATTGTCCGAAGGCGAAGCTTCCCAGATTCCAGGAAGGCACCAACCAAACCGCCCGGAATTCTGCTGTTGCTTGCGCTTTCTCCCCAAGTCACAAGTCTCATAGTCTCAGGCGGCTAGACCCGGACGGGGATCGCATGTTGGAGTACTTCACTGTCCCTCGGCATGGAAGGGGAGGGAGCAGGGCCATGCGCGTCAACCTTTCTGTGGCAAGCGGCTCCGCGAAACGGCAAGTCGTGTTCTCAGTGCTGAACGCATGGTCCACGACCCCGCTGCTCAAAGACAGACCTAGCTGCACATGTCACAAAAACGGCCCGTTCCTGGCTGATTCTATACATTGGGCGCTCGCGTGGGAGGTCCGAGACAAATAGAATCTCCTGCCCTGCCTTGTTTGGGTCTCAAAAAAGAGTCACCAGTTTCTCGACCCTCTGAGTCCTCTGACCTTTGGGGTCACAGTGATCGGTTGTCAGTTGGCCCGTCTTTCTTTTCCCGGTCCTTTGGGCTGACACTTGCGTGGGATTTCATGTGTGTTTTTTGCATGTGTGGAGATGCAGTGTCTCGCTGGCGATTGTCTATGCGGCCTGGGGCAATTTCCATAGCGTCGCCGCTGAGTTTCTTAGTTGCGTTGAGCTTGCTTTGGGTAGGCCTGCTTGGCGTTCCAATGAGCATAATGTTTTAAACGAGCCCATATGCCATGCGCAAAAGGAGTGCACCAACGGTACGTAAAGGCTTCGTGAAGCGTACAACAGAGGTGTGTCCACACCATTCCTGTGCCGAGATGTGTCAAGTGTGCCCGAGGTTATTGACATATGCCGCTTTGCTCGTGGACAGTTCTCATGCACATGCTTGCTCGATGATCCCATTGTACCCTTTCCCTCCACCATATCTTGTTGAGCTGCACCAATTGCCTTTGGAGTTGGTACTCGCGATGCAACACTTGCCCTTCACATACCCATTACCCATTATAGGCAAGCCTATGTTGCATCACACATTTAAACATGTCTGCATGCGGCATGTAGGGGTGAATGCCGGGGGCTGAGGACAACCCCGGGCCGGGTCAGTACACCCTGCCCGGCAGCTTCGCGCAGAAGGACGTTTGCCCCATCGCGCGGCGGGGTGGGCATCTGGGCATCTCGCAGTCGAGTCCAGTGTTGGCGAATGTTGGCTCGCAGCTGTCGCCAGACTTTGGAGGCGGACATATCCACCAAACCCCCTCCTTCGGCACATAGAACGGTGTGAGGCCATTGGCCAGGAATTTCTGGCCTAGTTCGAGAGACCTTTGAGGTGTCATCAAAGTAAAGAAGGTCCAAGGGACTAATTTGATTGGACAGAAGGGTAAAAAGGCGCAATAGCCAAACAAGTCAAGCCTGCAAAGGCAGGGGAGCTGACTTGAGATACCTGAAAGAGATTTGATTATCTTTCTCCACACTTGTTTTCAGGAGAGTAGTCAATTCAGCAAGTCGATGCTTCTGGAACCCAAGACCAGCTACCCCACGCTGTGCGGCGGTGTACCCCTGGTCTGGAACGGAGCTGCTTACTTGGGGATGCAAGCATGATCATGTCATTTATCCTTTACTTGGGGCTGTAGACAGCCAGAGCACGAATCCCAATCAAGTGGCACAATTGAGGGGAGTAGCCACCAAAACCTTTCGCTTTTGGAAGCCCAGAAGCCCCGAGAAGCAAGAATGTAACACCCTGTGTTTTGGACTAGTCAATCTTGCCCAAAATGAATAAGTTGACCTTTCGGTTTGCCACTGTTTTTTGTCTTAATTAGTTCCCTTGTCTTAGGGCCGCGCTTTGCAGGCACTGTGGGTCCTTCACCATGCAGGGCCGCTACCCGCTGCGCCAGCGGCAAGTGGTGAGTTGGGGGTCTCAGTGATGGTTGTCGGTGACTGCTTTTTTGTTTTTGCGTGTGAGGTTCGAAAGAAGCTTGAGCTCTCAAGGTAGTTTACTTGGTTGGATACGAATTCTGATTTGTAAGGTCCGCTAATTTGCAAACTATAGAGTCACAGCTTCTAAGAAGATCGCTGGCCAAGTCTGAGTTTTCTGGACCAATATTGCTCCCAAATTTAGGACCTGCGGGGTGGGTCTTGTTCAGCGAAACAAGCCAGCCAGTGTTATGTCTGCCGGCAACTGCATGTGGAGACCAAGCTAATATCTCTGGGACTGGGCGCCACATCACTCGTAGTTGTGAGTCTCCCGGAAAGGAAAGCACAAGAAAATAGATCCTTTTCTTGATGTTTCCAAGTACTTTACCACAAAAGCTGAAGCGCTTGAAAACAACCCTGGGTACAACCTGCCATCTGCCTTTCGGCAGTCGACAGCCTTAACAAGACCCCCCTATGTGCTCTCGGTAAGCCACTAAAGGCCTGGTTGGGGATGGGTACAGAAAGCAATCACGATGTCAGCAGTTGTCAGGTGGTCAGAACTATGGCTCGCCTTACGGACCGCTGCGCGTCCATAAAAGGCGCCCGCTTTGGCGACGTCAGGCCCGGCCAACTACTCGCCTTCGCTGAAGCCCACCTCAAGGCATTGCCCTGCCGCAGCCTGAGATCCTGACATATGACTGAAAGCCCATGGCCATAGGTTGCTGTAATTTGCTGTAGGCTTTGGTGCATGACCCGGGTCCCAAGCCAACCTTGGAAGAATGGTTCCACAAATGCCATCGGGAGTCCTTCGAGTGCAAAGGCAAAAGCGGTTGGAATCCTGGGAGGCTATATACTTTGAGAGATGGTGTAGCACAGCTCCGGCCGGATTTGATTTGGAGACAGCCCCATTCCCCGTGTTGGTTCCTTACTGAACCTAGCCGCAAGAACCCAACAAACACAGTTCGCAGAGGAATTGGGCCACCCCATTGCCGTCCAGCGGCGAAAATTGGGTCGTTTTCCCCCAAAATTGGAAGGATCCCCTCTACAAAGTATATGTGTGTTTCACCCTGAAGAGGTCCGTAAACCAACTCAAATGGATGACACAAAATGGAGAGTAGCTTCCCGATGTTCTTTGGGCGCGGTTGACCCGGCCATGCCCAGGAAGCCATGACGGTTGGCAGAAGGAGATTGGTCATGGCACATGTATTGGTCTTCGCAAAGTGAAGGACAAACATGTATACTATACCAAGCTGGCCTGCATTGTTTCCAGTCAAGGGGATGAAGGTGACACTTTGGCAACCTCCATTGCAAACTCAGACAACTGTCCAAGCGACAAGTGGCGTTCTTCAAGACAAAGGTATCCAGCACACTAGCGGTCAGGTGTGTGCATGTTTTACTGAAAGGAAATAAATGTTCAGTGAGATGTTCAAGCATTGTGCTTGGCCAACCCACTCCAGAATGGCAAAGGAAACCAACCATTTGAGGGTTCCCCCACACGAAAAGTCGGAGAAGCATCGGACTCACCAGCAGGCAACCACCAGCTGGGGGTTTGCTAATCAGGGAGTATTCACTTCATGCCAATTGTGAATGGTTTTGAGTCATCCCCAAACGGTGATCCCCCTTTATTTCCTGTGTTCTTTTCAGTCGCTAGGCCTGGACCTTTGCGCGCCCCTCCACTGCGGAGCCCAAGATCCGCTCGGGGAAGGGCCGGGCGCCCGAGGTTGCGGCACTGAGAAAACGACGACGTCGGAGGATATGATTTACTTGGAATCGATTGAGCCAAATATTGTCTGGGATCGGTACCAAGCAAGCATTCAGCAAGATGGCTGTGGATAGCTTTCCACACGCCCCGAAGACTGTGACTTTTGTTTATTGGGGGGGGTGGGGGGGTGGACTGCGCAGGCTAGGCCCATACGTATGACACTCACATATATACACACATGTACATATATATATATTAACATATATATATATATATGCACATGCATGTACATATATATATATATGCTATAGACAGGGGCCTGTTTCCTTATTGCCTGGGATGCCAACTGTTAAAAGCTAGGGCCCCACAAAGGGGGCATTCAACCAACTGACTCAAAAACTCCTGGTTTTGCAATCAGATGCCGAAGAAACATAGAAGCACACATACACATACGCACATGCAACCCTCATTGAGTAATTAGCGGCATGGCGATCTGGGGATACAACTTGCGCAATGGTCTTCCGTAGTTATTTTTGCTGGTGCCTGTCTTTTTGACCAGGGTTGCTCCGAGCCACGTAGACATGACCGAACCCCAAGGAAAATCAGTGAATTGGTGTCCTTTGAATAGCCTCGTGTAGCACAAATCCCTTAGCCTTGCAGCTCAGAGCAGCTGTGCTCATGCGCATGTGTTCATTGGCTTTGTGGATTTGGTTGATGAAGGTTTTTGAAGAGATCCTTGGGGTTTTGCAGGGCATCCTTCAGGAATCCTCCGTCCGTCCAAGTGTGTGAGCAGAGTTAACTCTACTCCTACCATGGCCACTTTTAGCAAAGAGACCTGAGCTCGCAAACACATGTTGGCTTAAACATGTTTAAACCGCTGGAAACGGCCCAAACTTCAAACCTCGCGCTCCATGCATTTTGCTTCTTGATGGCTCGAGTGCTCTGGGTTGAGCCACTCGGCCGGGGGTTCGGAGGCGCGGCCCGCAATGTATATGTGTGTGTGGGTGGTGCGTGGTGTTCGGTGTGCGGTGCGGTGTGTGGAGCGTGCTTATGCGTGCTTTTGTATGTTTTGAGGGTACCCTTCTGGGATCTTCCTGGGTCCAGGCGTGCTTACCAACAGATAAAAGCGGCCGCTCTAATTTCCTGAGCTCCGTGCATTCTATGCATAGCGTGACACGACTGGAATTCAGGAGTTCAATAGCCCAGCATGTTCAATTCGTCTCGAAAGGAAATCCCAAAGAAACTGATTGTTTCCCGATGTTCCCCAGCCCCAGTTGATCAAGGCTTTGCCTCAAGCAGGTGCGATCATGCGAGAGGCAGCAAGATGCGGCCAGTGGGAAAGAACCGTCAAAATGCGTCACGGATAATTCTTCCTGAGCAATGGTGTATCGACACCATTTTTGTCAAGACAATGTGCTCGCTTCTCTATGCATATTCGGCCACGCGTCGTGGAGTTGACTTTGTTCTCCACCTTTCCCAAGCTTTTGTTCACCCCAGTTTATCAAGGCTGTGGCATAAACAGGTGCGATGATGCTAGGCATTCAAACAATTAGCGTAGGACCATGGATGCTCACCTCTGTACAAGCGACGATGTGTTTGTCTTGATTACTAATTATAAACCTTGAACAGCTCGAGCACGAGCAGTGCAAATGCCGATGGCTTTGTTCCATTCAATCGATTTTTGCCGACATGGTGAGCGTTTAGCATGTATGCATTGAGTAAAGTAAACCTAAGAAGACAAACAACAGGCTTGTGGCTCAATCTTGAGCTCGAGCAGTCCTAGCCAAACCTTTTGATGTTGAGTTTCTTTTTCTTGGAGAAACATGAGTCACGGCCATCCAGCCTCGTTCAATTCCTGCGCTGTGCACGGCTTTCAGGCCGTTCCTTTTCAGAGTTGTTTTGTGCCCCACAGCAGATGGGTTGTTGCCCGCCAGGCGAGCAAGTTCCACCAGAGGTGTTGTTTGCTTCCCAGTCGAATTGGTTCTGAAGAGGCTGAAGCGGCGCCAGGCATGGACTTGGACCCTGGGGTGTCCCTGCTTTCGGAGGACAGCCACCCCGGCACCGCACTTGGATTAGGTGCTTTCTGTCGGGGGGGAGGTCCACTTCTTGTTTGAAGAGGCTTTGTCTCTGTTTGGGGTAGGGTTTGTTTTGGGGTTGGGGGGGAGGTTGTGTTATGTGTTTTTGCTGCCGAGGTCACCCTCCCAATGAGTTGGGGAGAGCGGGGTGGCCCTTGGCCTTCGGAATCTTGGACTCGTTGCTCCATTCAAGGGAAGCCTATAATAGGAATTAGGAAGAAAGTGGAATTTCCCTCATCGCCTCCGCCTGAAGTTTGCGGTTCCCGAACCATTTCAAGGAAACCAGTCGAAGCAAAATGTCAGTTACCATCATTTAACTACAAATTCCTTGTTCCCCATTCCCCGCTTGATGTGGGAGTCCAGCATATAGGGTTTGGAGACAGTTTGTGTTTTACGAGTTGTTTGAAAGCGGGCTCTACAGACGATCAAGGCGCACGGGCACAAGGTTGGCTTGATTTCCTCTCAGTTTCCCTGTTTAGAGGCCATTACTCTACCTTTGCTTCCAGGGGCCAAGGAATCCAACAACGTCAGTCCGTGTTGAGACCCGAGGCCGCCTCGTCACTGCGGAGGCAGCACCTTAGCTGCAAACGGTTTAAACGGGCGAGCGGGTCCAAGGATACATGTTGGCCAAATTCAAAGCAACCGTTACCCGCTGTTTTGAAGGGTTTCTACATCTATACGGGTGATTTTTGGGCGTATATCCTTGCACTGGGATCCTGAAGCTGTCGCTTGCGAGCCGGGGTTCAAAGCCTCGCAAGGACTTCGAGCGCCTTCTGGAAGACTCAGTGGAGATCGAGGAGAGCGGAGAGCGGAGAGAGCGGAACATGTGCCAATTGCCGCAATTGCGCCCGGTCGACTTAGGAGAACCTCAGCCCGAGCCCCAAAGCGCCCCAGTCGACGCCGGAGCCCGCAGAGCCTGCCGCTGAGCCCGCTGAGCCCACGGCCCCAGAGCCGGCGCCGGCAATGCCGAAGGCCATGCTGGAAACACGGCCAAGGCGGGCTCGGGGCGGAAGCGACGTGCGCTTGGACACGAGGCAAAGTAAAAGAACGTGTTGCAAGTTGCAAGGAGACATTCCCACAATGGCTATGGAGGCCACTCTCAGAATTCCATATGCTGCCGCACCCAGGTTGCACAACCTCCCAGTTGGTTTTGGTTTGGCGAAATGACTTGTTTTGTAGGGTTCGGGCACCCCCTAGAATGTGAAGTTGCCATTGCCAGGAGCAATCAACTGTCCAATCCAGAGATTGGACAAATAAGGATTCTGTTTGAGGCAACGGCCATGACCCATGCAAGGAGGTTGTCCGTCGCTTATGTGGTCAGCGGAAGCACCAGTGCCACGTCGTTGCCTGTGAACATGTATGCCACACTCCTTAGGAGCTAAGACGACTGACCGCAGAATTCGGGCTCAAACAGCATGAGTAATTTGGATCCTTCTGATGTACCTGCGGTGGTCGAGATCTTTTCCCATTCCTCCTCGGCATGGTTTGTGGGGCTGGTGGTGAAGAATGCCAACGGCTACCTCACCATCCGGTTCATTGACAATGAGGGCGAGCGCAAAGAGAAGCTTGTGAGTCGCCTTGTCTGCACCGTGCACTGAGGACTCTACACCCATCTATAGCCTCAATGGCCAGTATAAGACAAGGGATTTGGACCCCGATGAGGCCTACATGACGTGGGCCCCTGAATATGCGGTTGTGAGACGTGCAAAGCTAGTTTCTGATTGTTTACCCACATGGAGCCTCACTATAGACCAAGCCTTTTGAAGGGGCCTGGTTTCAGAGTGGGTAGGAGGGTGAAGCAACGCAAAGTTCGTTTGGTCAAAGTGGACTTTTCTGGGTCTTGGGCCAGTTGCTTGTCAACGATGCTCGAACCACAGGCCCAAGGAGAGCAGAAATCTGGCCTGTTTGTCGGGGACTGCAGGGCCAGAACAGAATGCAACGATGTCTACTGAGTTGTCCAAAGCCAACCTTTTGACCTTTTGGTTTTCCCAGTTTGGTCCATTTATAGTCATGATCTTAAAAGGTTAACCCCTTATTTCCAGGTCTTTTGGGCAAGTGAGTTTATGTTAGGAACAGGCGATATTGTCAAATCCTGTGTGTGTGGACAAATTCCCACATCAGTTGGGACTCCGGGATGACTCGCAAGGCTGCGAAGGATCCGACGTGGCCTACTTCGGGTCCCACCTTGGCTGGATCTCGCCCCCTGGGGTGGTGGCAGTGCCCTCGGCTTCCCGCGCCGGGGAGGTGGGAGTGTGTTGCGGGAGTGGTGTTGTCGAGGTGTTGCTGGGTTGCATGCTCTTTACTTGGTTTGTTATGGTCTTGGTGGTCTGTTTGTTTGGTCGAACCTGGTAGTGCCATGTCCGAATCAGGCATTAATCATAACACGTCGGCGGCTTGATTTTTGCAGCCTTTTGGGTTTGATAAACCGTAAGATGCCGCTTTCCAAGAGGGCGGTGCCAGGCCACTTTCTACCCCCCCCCCTGGCCTGCAATCCCGGTTTTGCCCCATTTGTTCAAGTTTCTAGCCATTTCCTCGCTCTCAATTTGGCTCAGTCGTTGAGGCTGCAACAAAATTATACTTATTTGATGGGATCAGGGCCGGACCATTCCTTGAGCTGGGAAACCAGCGTGACCCCCCTACCAACACACCTTGGAAATAAAATGAGATCATCCTGCCCGCCCACGTTCGGGCATGTCATGCGTGGGATTGTGTGGAGGTCATCGAGGGTTCTTGTTCCACACGCGTTCCTCAGCTAGTGGAAGGAAATAATGCTTGAGAGAAGGGAGCCGCCTCTTCTAGCTGAAAAGTGCATGATAGATTGGGGGTGCCCCAGTTCCCAGTTGGATCATCCAGAAGGAGAATGGTTTCAACACTTCTCCCGGTTTCAGTCGGTACCAACTCCACGAGGCGCACATCGCTTGATCGATGCCCCGAGTGCGCCTTCGACTCGACCGAGTCGTGCGCAGGTCTCCTACTTGGACGCGAGTCTGCGGCAGAAGTTCGCCAGCCCCGAGCTGGCGTGGCAGGCGTTCCTTGGATGCAGGCCAACATTGCAAACAGAAGGGCAAAGTACTCCTTGTACGTCCAAATGACAATTTGGGGGGGGGGGTCGGTTTCCTTGTCATTGCAACTTGCGCCCTTACCCCCTTGCTGGAATAAATTGCAGTTTGCAAAAAACTGATACTACCTTGAACATTCCCGGCAGCGATCAGGTAGGGCTGGGACCATACCCATGGGACTCTCCCGCAGGAGCAGATGTGTCACAGTTTGGCAGCACCCACGCAGGGGTACGTGGAGGGAAACAGATGCTTGGGGCTTAAGGACCCCTTCATGGAGTGTCATGGAGTCATTCTGGATTCAGTCTTTGGCATTTTGATAGTTTGGACAAGTTCCTGCGGCCCCATGATCGCAGTGCCGTTTCTCCGTTTTGGTGCCCCAAAAAAAGGATTGCCATGGGAAAAGCCACCCAGTATGGCTAGGGCAGTGCTGCTCGGTATACGCCCACCAATGTGCTACCAGGAAGCTTTCAGCCCGAGGTCCAGGGTTGTGGAATGAAGAGGTGGTTCCCACTTCTGTGATAATTACTGTAGTTATTGGGCATTCCTGTCGTGCAGAAATCCCGCCAGGTCTGAAATAGTTCGACATGTGGTCCAAAGCAAAGAGCTTGCATGGTTCTTCAAGGTTTCACTTCTTCGGCTGCAAACCCCCCATCCAGTTGAGAGCCAGGCATGCCTTTGTTCTGCCTTTGGATTCAAAACAAACTGCCTGAGTTCTTCCTTGGCCACTGGGCAAGTGCGTGAAGAGGGAGTTGCGTGGTGACTGAGGTTCCTGGAGCACCAGTTGGACAAAGCTCCAAGCTGTGCGCGGTCTCCAGAGGGCCCGCTGTCAAGTAGCCCGGCCTCTGGGGATAGCCGCTTGCTCTCCATGGACGGCCGCCTGTCCATAGATGGCCGCTTACCCCTGGAGGGCCGTTCTGACAGCCGCTTGCCCATGGATGGCCGCCTATCTGTGGGCGGTCGCTTGTCAGATGGCCGCAGTTCTGTAGACAGCCGCTCACCCATGGATGGGCGCTTCCCAGACGGCCGCTGCTTTGCAGACAGCTTGCCAAAGGAAGGGCGGCTGTTTGTAAACGACCGCTTGCCTACGGACGGGCGCTCGCAAAGGGATGGCCGCTTGGCAGACTGCCGCTCTCTGGACAGTCGCTTGGCTTTGGACGATGGGCGCGGCTCTGAGGGGCGCTTTCCTCTGGATCGACGTATGCCTTCAGACCGCTATTCTGTAGATGGCTACTTGTCCCTGGACGGCCGCTTGTCGGAACCCCGATCGTGTTCCGCGGCGGTTGTGCCTGGCAATGTATCAATTGGGAGCATTTGTCAATATGGGGAAGTGGTTGGGGCTTAGCCATTGAAACCCATCTTGGATCGTAGCCCTTCTTCTGACCATGGTTTGGCATGCATGTGCCAAGCTAGCATCAGGTTGACGTTTTAGCCTGAGGAATGGACATTTGGTCCAGGTGAAGAGGACACCCAATGAAAAATAAAGAGTAGCGGACAATGTAACCCTGCTTGAAAGTAGTGTTTGTCATGAAGTGTTGCATCTCCAAACATGAGTTCAATTGTTTGATGTTTGACTATCAAGTGAGTTTGGAGTCATGCCGTTGGTCCAGGGGTTGGTCTTTTCCCGGATTCTACTCAGGAAGCGATATCTCGAGATGAAAACCAGCCATTTGGAGAGATCCCTGGTTTTGAGAGCATCGGATTGCAGCTTCTCTAGATGGGGAGTATGGGAATCCAATGAATGAGTCCGTGTTGCAGTTCGGCTTTGGCCAAATTGCTGTTCCGTCACAAAGTCGTCGGAAAAACAATGCCTCCCAAAATGGTGTGTGTTTTTTTTCATATGTATTCTTACTTGCATGTCACTGTCTGTTTTTTGTGAGGGCCCGCTTTTGGGTTAAACGAACAACGGGAAGACCCCCCCCCCGGTTGCGGGAACCCAAGGCCGGCAGCTTCCCGCGGCCGCTCCGGGCCTCGAGGGCCTGGACGAGGAGTTGGCGCGGGCCCGGCAGGCCGGGTCACCCCGCTTTTGGAGTCCCAGGTCTCGTCGATGGTCCATTTATCCATTTTTCAAGAGGCTGTCTTTAAGTTACTTCACTATCTTGAGGGTGTCAAATTGTTGTCACGAGGGGGCGTTTCGGAAGCACCTGGAGTTTTGTGGTTCGGGACATGGTGGCGCGCACTTCCAAGTGAATGAAGCTTTTGACCTTTTGGTTGTTCTGCTTTGGTCCACTTTTGTTCCTGGGCCCCAAAGGTGAACCTGTTCCAGCTCCTTCTGACAGGTAAGCATAGAACATAGCCGTTTGTGGAAAAGCACCCGGAAGATCCATTTTCTCTCTGTCATGTTCCTGGGTGATAGAGTGCCGTTGCTAAAAGTGTAGTTACCTTTGGCCTGGTACTTTCCGGGTGAGAGACTCCCTTTTCGACCCATGCGTAGAATTCCTCTCGTAGGCCGAACTTGCATGCCCTGAAAGGCAGCCATCCAGCGGGTGCGCATGCGGCGCGGCGCAGCCGCTGCTTTTCTGCAAAAGTGCTGAGGAAGCAAAGCTTGGCATGCATGGACCCGTCATTCAAGGTGTCCGATTGCCCTTTCAAGGGCACTGGATTGATTCCTCGTAGGGGCTTCGGAACATCCGCATTCCGAAGTGAACATTATGGAGCTGCCTGGGTGATCAAGCGAGTTTCCCGGTGTTTGAGGTCGAAGTGGGCCCAACATGTGCGTTTCCATGGCTGAAAATTGCAAGAACCAGCATGCCCCTGGCAATGTGGCCCTAAGGTCGCCGGGGGGGGGGTACCATGGCGGTGACTAAAGCTATTGTTGTGACTTTACCTCCCAACTAACGTTGCAACATGATTCCCCGTTGCTCCCATATGTTGCAAGATGAGCATGGGAGTTCTCGCGTAACAACATCACAATAACTTCATGCTTAACAAGGATTGGCCTCCCTCCCAGACGTGGACGTAATCCTGGAATAAGGGATCCCACAAGCGGTTGTTGCTTTTAGTCGGCTTATCTTTCAACAGCCCCCCACGGGGGAATCAGCTTTATGAATGATTGACATGGGCCTTACTCCAATATCTCCAATCATGATGGAAGGGGGGGGTCTTTCTCCTGCCCGGATCTTTGGGTACGGGAGGTAAGGGTAGGGGCATATCTTCCCTCTCCCTAGCACCCCTCGTGTACATTGATCGCCGGATCAATACACAGAGCCTCCATACCTCCAAAACATAAACTCTAAGGGTGGAAGTGCATACCCCTTGTTCATACCCCTTGGCTTCCGTGGTTTCCTACCCTCTTCATAAGGGGTATATGCCCCTTTTGGGGAGAGGAGTATGAACATCAGCAGGCCTGTTGGGTTCATTTGTCCAAGGGGTATGTAAAAGGAGTATGTACAAGCACCCCTGGATAAACTGAAAGAGATAATCCTTGCTAATGACACGGGAGTTAGTTCGTAGAACACTTGCGTCCCTGTGCCATAGCCACTGACTTGTTGGTTTACACTTGGCTTGTTTGATTCGATTTTCAGTGAGGCTCGCGAGGATTCGCGAGCCATATTTGTTCCAACAACCAGAAGTCGTTTGTGAGCTCGACCTTCTCGCGCTCTTTGCTGGAATCTCACAGTGGCCTGCAGGCAGGCTATCTCTTTCTTGGCACTAAAGCAGGCCTTACTCAGAAATTCTCCATGGCCAGGGATAGCCCCGGGCAAGGGATAGGGAGCTATGTTCCGGCCCAACCGTTAATATTCCAGATTTTGTTTGTGATCCCATTGAACAAAAACGAAGGGACAAAAACATTGAAGCATGCTACTAGTTGAGAAACCCTTCTCGAGGGGGCCTCTGGATTTTCATGGTCCGCTCAGGAAGGCCTCTGACGGAAGTGCGTCACAAGGAAATCTGGGGAGAAAAAGCTGAGCGCTGCGTTGGGTTTAGGAGACCCAGTGGATCTATAGTACATAACCAGCCATCTTCCTTTTGGTTTTAAAGAGTTTCCTTGGTTGTCCAGCAGGAAATGGAATCACTGGATAGGTGTCCTAGGTCACAGTGGTTGAAGAATGATGGTACTCATTTCAGTTTGCTTCTGATGGCTTACTGGCACTGATTTACCATCCCTCCGGGCCGAGGTGTTTGCAAGTACAATGAGGTGTGCAGAGAAGATGAATCTCATCTTTCGCCCGTTGAGATGTTCAAGAGTCTGAGTTGTATCGGGCATTTGCCGACCTATATCAGCACGGTATTCTGAGAACAGCAGCTCAGCCCTTGCGGTGAGCGCCATGATGGAAGCATTGTCCAGACATGCCAGGAACCTGCGCCATGAAAGCCCGTCATCGCAGATACATGCGTGTGTGTGTCGTCAATTTGTTGTTTTTGTTACAAACACGTTGGCTTTTCAATCTCAGCATGCTCTCTGCAGGCTTCCGGATGCTGTAGATTCGCCATGTTACAATTTACCCTCACCACTTTGTTGTAGCTCCCTCTGACTATATGTTTCACTCGCAAGGACCCCCGTTTATGCAGGTTTTCCTACGCTAATTTGGGGTCCAGGGGAGGTGACTAGGACCGATTTTTATTGGGGGGTTGTCTTTTTTCAGGACTGCCCCCCCCGCACCTGGTCGGTTTTGAAGGGCAAGTGAAAGGAAAACCATTCGAAACCAAACGAATTGCGGGGATTGTTTCCGGAATTCCGGGGTTCCATGGGGGGATTCAAGAAAATCCCAGCCTCCAGGGAGCCAGACATGGAGCTTCGAGGCGCTGGAACTGGGGAGGGCCTGGAAATCACATCAATTCCATGCACCCAAAGCTGACTGGCTTCGAGCTTGTTTGTTCCTTTCAGGCGCAGTGCCCGAAAGGTCGACCCTTTGCTTCAGGTACTTGTGGGCAGAAAGGAACGCAGACTTGTGTCGGAGGCTCCGGGCAGTTGGCAAATATCTGCTGCTGTTTCTGAACCAACATAATGCTGGCAGGCAATGCAGGATATGTAGGCAGAGTTCAGAACGCAGAATAAACCAAAAGGACTACTCAAGTGGCGTGGGCATTCACCAGGTAAGGTTTCCGGCATCTCTGTTCCCTGGGTTTTGGTAGCTTAATGTTAGGTTTCCGCTTTTAGCCTGCCAGGCGCCACGCCTTGTTTCAATGCACCCAGCCGTCCTTCCTGAAGTTGCCCCTGCAGCTAATGCCTCGCTGTTCTGGGCATGCGTTTGAGGTCAGTTTCAGTGGGGGCTTCTCTGAGCATTGGAAGAAGCGTCCTCGAGCCATGTTTTCCTTGGCCAGCTCAACTTGGCTGCACTCGGGTGGGTGATGGGTGTGATGGTGATGGTTGATTCTGATGTGGTCATCCGTATTTTGGCATATTCGACATATAGGCTGGCAGATGTTGAAGATGCTGCTGGCTTGAGTATGTATGAGTGAGTTGGTTTTCCATTCTTGGTGGGTTTGTATATGATTTGTTGGATGTTGCTTGGCGTGGCTCACTTGTTCGATGTTCAGTGTTCCGTGCGTGGTTTTGGCGCTGGAATATCAGTTGAGGGTCCTGAGGGTTTGGAGCTGGAGTGGGGGCTGGCAGCTTCTCACTAGTAGCGCTGTCGCTATCGTTGGCTCAGCCGCGCCGCAGCGCATGGAGGTATCAGCAAATGAATGCAGCATGGGAGAATCGACAGCAATGGAGTTTTTGTGCCTGACTTTGTGATGGGAATAGATCTACAACCATGGGATCACTGTGGATTTGTTTCGTGTTGATGCTTTGCGTCAAATGTGTTTGACAGCGTTCAAGGGTCAGTCAGCTCAAAGTTTAATCTTATGGGGGAATACTGAGTCTTTTAACACTTGATTCATCAACCATGTCATATTGCAGCTTCCACACCGCCGATGTTTGCCACTACTTTTGGCCGGCAGCGTTTGCAGTGTGAGGAATCTTCATGGGTAACCTCCACTGCCCCACCCGGAAGACCAGCAGGGCACAACAGGTGTTCGAACGTGCGGGACTGGTTCTAACGCCTCAGTCGGTGGAGGGTAGCTATGAAGCCCTAGCTGAGAGCAACTGCATCCCGCGAAAGTGGCACGTGGAAGGTCGCTGGGGCATTCCCATCGAACAGATCTCATCAGGACAACACCAGCGCATGCGCTTCATTCCACTGCTGGATGGCGCTGAGAGCAGGTTGCCTGATGAAATTCATCAATTGATGAAGGCTGGAAAGGCCTCCGTGATTTACCAGGCTCCCAGTCATTCATCGAAAGCAATGGCTTGGACAGATTGGCATCCAGGTCATTTGGCCGCCAAAAGCCTCCAGATTGACCCGAAGACGGCCGCCATTCCATACATCCAAGGCATCCAAGGCAGTGACTCACCAGGGTCCTTTGGGTCCACCGTGTCCACCTTCACTTTTGCGGAGCTTTTCGCTGGCATTGGCGGCTTCCGGGTTGGCTTGGAGGCCCTGGGAGGACGATGCGTTTTCGCCTCGGAGATTGACAGTTCCGCGCGGGAGGTTTATCTCCTGAATTTTGGGGATGACCCTTTGGTGGCTGGAGATATCTATGAGGTGCCAGATTCAGCCATCCCGCAGGTGGATTTGTTGGTGGGCGGTTTCCCATGTCAACCCTTTTCGGCCTTGGGCAGCCAACCTGCTTTTGATGATGAGCGTGGGCTGCTGTTCCGGGAAATCGTGCGGGTGTTAAAGGCCTCCGACGCCAGGGCCTTTCTCTTGGAGAACGTGCCGGGCCTTTTGGGCTGCGACGATGGTCGCACCCTGCAGGCCATCAAGGATGAACTGATGCTGGCGGGATATGAAGTACAGATCCACACGGCCAATGCGCGAAATCTGACGGCGCAGGCGCGAAAGCGGGTATTCTTCTTTGGGCTTAAGGAGAATGGAGATGGTGGGCCTAATGATGGAGATGAATCCAGATCTGGTCCCAGTAGACCTGGTGGGTTCCAGAACTGGCGTTTGCCTTTCGTCCCTTCTCTCCAGCTGCGTGCGCGAGACTTCTTGCAATCGGATGAGGAACTGGACGAGAACGAGGACATCTACGGTTTGAGTCATGAGCAGTTCAAGCAGTTGAGGGCGTCGCCGAAATGGAGTCGCAGAGGTGGCATGACCCATACCTTGGTCTGGGAGGATAAGTTGTGTGACACCTTGGTCTCCCACTATGGGACCAGCTTGGCCAAGGGTAACTCCCAGCTGGTTCCGAGGCTGGCGCCCTTGAATCCCCGGAGATTTACTCCCAGAGAGTGCGCCAGATTGATGGGATTTCCGGACAGTTTTCGGTTGACTGAGAGAAAAGCTGGGGAGAATCCGAACATCTGGCAACTTGGTTCAACTTGGCCGACTGAAGTGTTGTACTCGAAGGTTCGAGCTAGACGATGTTTGGTGTGGAGTTGTGATCTTTTGGTGTAGGTGTTGTTTTCCGAAGTTTATTTTAGAACCTGGAGCTATACTGCATATGAAAAGTGTCGAACCCCAAATGCGGGTCACTATTCTGTGAAGGTTTTGACGGTTGTGAGGAAACCCGGGCTGTTCGTTGATCCACTACCACTTTCAAGGTCAAACAGTTTCTGAGGTTGGTGGCTGCCAAAGGTGAAAGTGGTTCCAACAATTGTGACACCGGAGCAGATGCCAACACATCAGACGACAAGTTTGTCATGAGTCCTCCCCAACATAACGGCCCCAACCATCCGAGGTTCAGAGCTCTGTACAAGATGTTGGGCAATAGCGTGTGCCCTCCACTGGTGGCAGTGTTGGCCAGTGGCTTACTGGAGGCCCTGGGGCTGCCGCCCCCGCAGGGTGGAGCTGACGATGGCACCTGGGAGGTCTACGGTGGAAGCTGCGCCTTGCGACTGGCATTGGAGGCTGTGGCGCCAAAGAGACGACCAGAGCTCCTGGGAAAGTTGCATCCTATGTGGCAGACGTGGAGGAAATGAGGCAATGAGAAAAAAATGGCCGCGGGAGAAGTTGGATGATTTGGGATGATTTGGCGAAGTTGGGTTTCTAGTGCAGCTGGTGGTTGATGTTGTTTCTTGACTTTGAACATGTATGGCCCTTGAATTTGAGATTCACGTGACCCCTTTGATTGTTCTTTGGCTCGAAATCAACCGGTCCACAAGCATACCACCACGAAGGCCGGTGGTCAAGTGCTGTATGGGTTGGATGAGCTTGCAGTTCATAGCTTATGCCGTGAGCTTTTTCCAAAACACTACTACAGTGTATTTTGGGTGACACAATCTCGCAATGAAGGAAGTCCAAAGTATAGTTGTTTCCGGCGAAAAACGTAAGGGGTGGGTATGTAATTTGGATTTCAGAATTATTTAAGTCTATGATCATCATAGTACATGTTGGTGGATTATCCAGTCCTTAACTACACTGTTTTCCTTTGGCGGTTTGGGGCTTCACTGACCGTAACCGGTCAGGGCGCCTAACATAAGTACTTCGCACAGAATAGTGCTTGACATGTTCACCGATGCTTGTGACCTTGGTTTTTGAATTTGGCCTTGTCACTTTAGTTTTTATTCACATGTTTCCGACCATATTTGGGATGATAGATCAATTGTGAATTGATAACCTTTGCGGGAATGATCGTGGTGGCAACCTTGAGCTTCTAGGAGAAGTGATATGTTTAAACTTGCCAGGTGGTGCTGTCAGAGCCAGTGGATGTGTTCAACACGGGGTCAGCTTGCCACCTTAGGCTTTGCTTTCAGGCACCTGCAGCAAGTGCGCCGGAGCCCTGTCGGAGAACGCCAAGTTCTGCGCGCAGTGTGGGCATAAGCAGCAGGCGCCAAGGGACACGGCTCCATTGAAACTGGTCGAAAGACAGATCCCTTTAGGACGCTGAGGATTCCTTGTAAAGGAACCATGACCCACAGTTGTATATGTCGTCAATTCCAGCCTCTTGCCACTTGTCGCCCTCAAGGGAATGTGGATTGTTTTATGTGGCACGGATGGCGCGTACATAGGGACATGAAGCGGCGTCAAGATACTGGATGATTCCTGGTCTGGTTGCGTACCTCAACGCAGTATCGGTCAAACAAAAGGATACGGACTTGACTTTGAGCAGTGCATGGACCCGAGTCAACTGGTATATATTTAGCAAGCAGAACTGCATGAGAACAGTAAGTTCCATGGTCCTCCCTCAAGATTCAACATGGAACCCAAACAAAGGTCTCCCGAAAGGAACATTGCACACATTGCACACACGTGTTGTGTTTCGCGTTCCGTTGATTCTCAGGCCACTCACAGGGGAGTACTCCAACCCGAGGCATTGTGAAAAGTCCGCCCCCACCCGCCTAATTTTCAATACTCCCTGTTGAGAGGATCGGCAAGCGCAGAGGAATTCGACCCCGGCTGCAATGTGCCACGCCTTCCGACATCAGCGTCCCCTATTCTTAGGGGTTTAAGCGGGAAATTTGTGGATATAAAATGGTTGAGGCTCCCCTTTTGAAGCTGGTTCAAAGGCATCTCACAGGAAAACGAGCCCCCCTGGTTGCTTTAAACTTCGAGCATCACCTTTGGGGTTCCTCTTGTTGCGACGCCTTTTGGTTCAGCGGGGAAATTTCGGGACCCCGAGCTGGGCTTTCGACTCGAGGCGTCGCTGGAGACCTGGGCGCTGGTAGGCCTCTCAGGGCGCCTGGAGGACCTTTGCCGGGACCTGCGCCGCTCCGTGGAGCCGGGAACCCCAGCTCCGTGACGTCAATGTTTAGAGCCATCGAGGTGGAGGTCAACCTCAGGATGCCAACCCCGGATGTGCAAGGTTGTCAACCTCTTGAAGAAAATGATAAAAGCAGAAACAATGATTCCTAGGTTGAAGGTTGTTGTTCACAAGATTCGAACCGTTGAATGTTGACCAAGGAGTAGTATGGACTGCGGGTGGTTGTCAAGTTTCGAGGCGGCGCCAAGGTACAAAAAGGGGTATAGTTTTTCACAGACACTCAATCACAACCCAGGATGGCTGCACCCCTGAGGACAACAACAATAAATCAGCACATTGATTTCCGTATTATACACATGTATGACATATATATATATATAAACATATGTATATTATGTGTATGCATATTATGGTTGATGTATATACAGTATATGTACCCACATACACACAGCTCAGTGGGCAAGATTGGTTTAGACGCCTTCCAGGCATGAGTTCGTCCTCTCCGAGCGGCAGCTGCAGGACTCGGGGGGGGCGGGGTGGGGTTTGGTCACTGGGGGCTAACTGGGTGTGTTTCTTGAGTTCATCTTTGGGTTGGTGCGAAGGGAAGCCAAAAGCAAAAGGAACACACTTTTTGTCTGCGGGGGCACACGCCCACTTTGTTTGTTGTTGGGATTAACCCAAGTTTCAAATGGCATGTCTTGGATTTCTCACGGACACAAGGGGAGGGAAAATGTGTTTGTTCCTTAACTGGAAGCCAACAGAACATGATGTTGAATTTCCTATTGAAAGAAGTGTAGGGAGAAGTTTCATTTTTCCAGGTAAACACCCGGTCCTGGTAGTGTGAATTCCCAAAAAATCTGATCTACAAATGTTGAAGCGGGAGCAAGGATGAGACGAGCCGCTGCAACTGGATTTGCCTCAGTCTCACCTCAGGCTGTCAAACCCCTCTTGTCCGATTGGGAGAGCTCCAGCGGCCTCCAGTGGAATGAGCCGTTTCAAGGGGATTGTTTCTGGAGAACTCCGTTGTTTACATTGACACAAAAGTCAAGCCATCAATTTCTGAGTGGTCCCCAGATTTTTGAGCCTACGAGAGGGCTTCGTTCGAACTAGGGTCGTCCATCGATTTGGCTTCAGCTTCTGAAGCCACCATGTCGCCGCCTTTCAGTGTCTAGCCCAGAGAACCCCAGTTTTTATGGCCTTGGTCCGAGCCTGGTTTCAATTCGTGGCATGTGACCTTCATTTGCCATGGTCAAAAGAAACTCATGATTGAGGTGTGAGAATTCCTACCCTCCGAATGACCATTTCAACCATTTTCATTCCTTTACGGATGCCCAGACATTTGTCCGCCACGAAGTGCCTGGTAACAATATCCAGGGCGAATTGCTTGCCATTTTCGATCTTTGAAGGGGCTATGTTTGAACAGCCTGGCCCTTTCTTCAGCTAGCAAGCGCCACCATATCCTTGACTTTGTCAGGGGGTTGACGATTGCAAAAAGCAATCATGCCTCAGGCACCCCCAACCTCCCCCAACAGCTATCAAGGGGTTTGCCAGTGATCTCCACACACCACCTGGGCCATTTGCCCGTTCTGGCCATTGGGTTGCCCTGGCCACTTCACAAGGCGCAGCAAGGCGCGGATCTGGAGGCGCAGCGCTTGAAGTACGAAGCGGAGGCATGCCAACAGCAGGCCGCCTCGAGAGTGAGAGGGAAGAGGTGTGCGGGGGTGGGCGGGCTGGAAACGGTGCATGGTTCACACCCAAGAGGTCTATTTTGAGACCTCAGACAGGGCAGTGTTTTTTGAAGTGTTTGAGTTGGCTGGCAAAATAGTCTCGAAGTGTCCATGGCACCGAGGCGACGCTTTGGGGCGTTTAGGGCGAGCTGGAGGGGGGAAGTCAGGTGACTGCGAGTCAATGGAGTGCCCAAGCAACTCTCAAACATACCATTGCCATATCAAGGCTCTGGTGCACGGCTATTTGCATACCTGCGGCTTCCCGGCGGGTACATGTTTCTGCTGTTTGGTTAAAAGCAACGTGTTCCATCGAGATGGTACTTTTTGGCGAAACGACACTTTTGCAAGTTGAGCAGGTCGCTTGCCAGACCGAAACGGCGATCTTACCGGTCCAAACGACAACGTTGGACGGCTTCGAAGAGTTGTTCCCGCCACTTCTGAGTTTTTGTTTTTTGTGCGGGCAACATCAACACGCAACCCACTAGACAAAGCTCATGCGTCCTCAGCAAACAGGCAGGGTATGACGTATGTTAGCATGGAGGCCTCGACATCCACATCACGGGACCTCGAGGTGTCCCACTGTTCACATCGTTTTGTCTGGTGGCTGAACCCTGCAATGGCCAAACCTGTATATAGAACATTTCAATCTGCATATTATGGCCGAACTCGCAACGTGGTTCCGAACACAAGCGAGTTTCCAGACACCCGTGTGGGTGAGTGTCCCTGAGCATGTTCGGGACGCGAAAGGCCGTTGTTCAGTGTGTTGGTTTTGGTTTCTGCGGGGTTCCTGGTGTTCAACACCATACCCTACGGATCAAAACACACCCTAAGTGTCCCCAGTACCGGGGAAGGAGGACGGGGAGTTTCCTGGGATTCGTGAACTCTTGGGCGATCAATCTTGAGGCGTGCCATGGAAAAGAGGAAGCCGGGGTGTGGATGCTGGGGGCATCAGTTGATCCAAAACAATCAGACTTCCCCTCAGGCCATGCGATGCCTAGGGGCTTCGTTGCTCACAATTTCCCGATTTGAGCCAATTTAATTTCAAGTCATGACTGACCAAAGGAAACCTGTTTTAGATTGTCAGGCCTTTGGCAGCTGAGAGGAGGGGTGTTTGAGCAGGGGTGCCAATTTTGTGGAACAGGGACCTGCACCCCAAGTCTCTTCTGTGATCCTCGGCTTGGCCGTGAGGAAAGCACAAGGCCCCGAGGCTCAGGCGGAAAGCCCAAACTGCTCTAAACAAGCCACCGGGACACGCGTCGTCAGCTGCGATTGTTTTGCTGCCAGCCCCCTCCCAAGGTACCCTGAACAGAGGCCCCTGCCAAACCAAAGTGCAGGCGAAGCTGGAGGCGGTGAGCGCAGAGCTCAAAGAGTGCAGCCAGAAGCTAGAGGCCAAGCAGAAGCAGGCCCAGGGAGCTGCTTAGCCCTGCAGGTCCACTTTTTTTGTTTTCCTCCCAATTTTGCGTGGTCGTCCCCATTGAGCTGACCAACCAGCAACAAGAAGACCAAGGTTTGCCCAGGCTGCAAGAAGAGGACTTCAGCAGCAGCAATGGCTGCCTTGAGATGGGCCTATGGTTGCTTTGTTGACACTGAAGGTTGCATGTGGGAGAGCTATCAGCCGCATACCAGCTAAAAGATCAACAGTTTGAACCTGTCTGGACCAGATCAACCGTAACATGTGACATCTAAATGATGATTGTTTGTTTGTTTTTAATCCACTCACGGGCAAAACAATGATTCGTTTTGAGCAGATGGTGAGAAGAACAATCTGGCTGCATTTGTGTGCACGATCGCAACGAGTCTGAATGGCGTCCACGATTCCGATGTGTCAGACTTCTGCCTGAACCCACGTGGATGACCTTTTGTGCCTGACGCTTTATTTGCCAATAAAGCATGACATTCAGAGACTGCAGCTTTGATAATCAGGGCTCTTCTTTTGAAGCTGTTCTCGTTTTTGCGCACTGCTGCAAAGAGATGCGCGTGTTGGCAAATGCCTAGTAGAACTTGCAGTACCCGTAGTTCTTCTTGCCAAGTGAGTTTCATTTTGAGGCCTGGGTAGAAGCCCAGTGTTTTGAGTTCTTTCCTGGTTCGCTAGTTCTCAGAGCCTAGTTCCCTTTTTGTTCACACTGATACCTCTCAACCGGGCCCTGCACCTCTCCCAAATCCGGCGACACCCCAAAGGCAGGCCCTTGCTGCCCTTTTCTCTCCCAAGGGACTTCGACAGGTGCCACTCTTCCACCCCAAGGTCGCAGGTTTCATGGCATCCGATTTGGGGCTCAGCTGACTATCCCAGGGATGTGAGCCCTCCAAATAAAGTTGGGGGAGTAAAGCCTAAATCCTGTTCGGACATGTTTGGACCTTTCTGCACAACGATTCCACTTTGCGGTGCTGTAACCACACGACTGCGCCAGCCCGGGTTGGGAACCAAGAGTTTGAGAGCTGTTGACGGGGGAGCCCTGCGGCCCTGAGCATGCGCACTCGGGTGAATAAGATCCTTCAACTTGGTCCTCCAACAGGTGACCGGTCCGGAGAATTGACGTCTGAAGGACCTTGGACATCCGTCAGTTTTCAACCACTCGGCAATTCTGACCCACGGAGTTTGATCCTGGAAAAACATTGTTGGACAAATCACCGGGCGGAAGACTAGGTTCCCAGACCAAGCCTGGTTTGGGCTTGGGTTATATACCATGGTCTCACTTGTCCAAGGCTGACCTTTTGACCTCAAACAAAGCCTTTCATTTCTGTGTCCTTGGGGCGATCCTTTGAACATGCTTTGGAGGGGGTCCAGCTAGCTTTTTGCGCAAGGCCAAAACTTGTTTACGCAGTCGCCCGAACTCAAAAGGAGTGGATTTAACCAGTGGTTTAAATCATGTCTCAGCCAGGCATTCCTTCCTTTTGTACCATTTTTCCCAGGTTAAGGGACCTGAGGGGCTTCAAGCATGGAAAATGAGTTGTGTCTCAAAAGAGGGGGCACCAACAAAAACGTTTCCTTTGCGTTTCCCCAACCCAAAAAAGGTCCCAACGCCAAAAGAAAGGCAAGCCATCCATTTCCTAAGGGGAAGGCCCAAGGGTTGCCGCAGGTCAAGGGTCTGCTGCTTTCGTCGCAGCAGACTCACCAGCGCTGCCTGCATCGCCTCGCCTTCGAGCGCTCCTTCCGCGCCTGGCAGGCGAATCCCACCGCGAGCGCGCGCGCACGGGCTTCGGATGGTGTGTGTGTGTGTGCCCCTTGAACACCACAAACAAAAGCGTACCCTCAAAAGGAGACACACAATCAGGTATCCCTTATTTGGTGGTGTGGATTGGTTGAGGGATTGAACCTGTGGTTCTTGCAGATGAGACACCGCCTCCCAAACTTCAAAACACGAAAGCAAGGCACCAACTAGGGGTAAGGGGATATAAGGGTCAGAGTAAGTAATAATAGTCTACTCCTAAAATCATTGCCAGAAAGGTTTGACTCTTTGGGCCCTTATAGGTCTGTCCTTTTTTGCTACTTCCTGTTACCTTTGGCTGTCACTCTCCGGCTTAATTTAGTGGACATCCCCATGAACATAAGAGTCCCCAATGACATATTGGTGTCTTTTTGAAGAGCACCCCTTGGGGCGCTTCAAAAGGGGAGGCAACACGAACGCCATTGCTTGCTATGTGCTTGTTTGCATTATTTTGTGTTGGGGTGATGTTGGGCTGCTTGAAGCCACACTCGATGCAAGTAAAGATAAGATAGAGAGGACTAGGGCATCGGATATCCGTGGGGGGGGGCAAGGAGGGTTACCGCAGTTCTTGCAAACCATTTAGCTTCCTTTATCTTCCTTTAGCTTTATTTGTACACATATATTTTTATTTATCTTCCTTTAGCTGCATTTATCTTCCTTTATCTTCCTTTTGCTTCATTGATCTTCCTTTCATTTCCTTTAGCTTCCTTTTGTGTCCTTTAGTTTCCTTTAGCTTCCTTTAGTTTCCTTTAGCTTCCTTTAGCTTCCCCAAACTTGTTTGATACCTGTAGCTTCCTTTTATTTCCTTAAACCTCTCTTTACCTTCCCTAAGCAATGCGGTAGCTCCCCTGGCCTCCCCTCAGAACGGGTTCATGAAAATAGCGTGGAAAGAGGAAGCAAAAGTAAAAAGCACATTGAAATTACATTGAAACAAGTTTTTTTTTTTTTTTTTTTTTATGTGAAGATAGGGCAGCATCCCATTCTTAGGGCAGCAAAACCCCCAGGGCATATTGAACACGTGAGCCAGCAGTGCCCATGCCTGCAAAGAAGATGTGAGGATTCTTATTCTTTTGTCGTTTGTTTCCTTTTCCCTTACCAGCAACAAGCTACCGCAGGTGGCCATAGTTTGGCCAAGAATCGCGGCTTCATATCGTTGCAATCTTCGTCAGGCCTGCGCCGCGCAGCGCAAGGAGGAGCGCCTGCAGCAGCTGGTGGCCACTCGGAGATACTCATCGACCCAGTCGATGAGTTGATGGCGGGAGGGCGGGCTCCGCAACGGTCAATGTTGACCACAGATGCAGAAACCCCGAGTTGATTGATAGGAGGGTGTCCCCTTTTGGCCTCCTAGTAGGGATTCATGACTTTTGGAAGGCAAATGACAAACATCAGCTGGGATCATTTGTTGCGAGTTAAAGTCAGAAGCTGGGGTGTGTCCCTTCAACCACTTTGGCACATGGTAAAACAGTCCGCTTTCCCAAAAGACAAAGTAGAAATAGGGGGAGGCTCTCTCTTGAAGCTAGCTGTTGTATGTGTTTCACTCAAAAAGAAAGACCGCGCCCTTTAATCATGTGGCCACTAGGCACGCTCGGGATTAGGCTAGCTCGCTGGTGCTGTCAATTTCCCTCTACCTTAAACTATGGAAGCATATTGTTCTTAATGGCTCTGTTGGGAGAAAGGCGCCATGCGTTTACTTGCTGCCAGAGAACGCATGGTAAGGCCCAGATGCCGTCGTGACGCCAAAGATGGCAGAGCAATGCCGAGCAATGCAAGCTTATGCGAAAGAATAAGGCAGAATGAGGCCAGCAAAATGCAACCTCAGGCCACATCAGGCCCAACTAAGGCAAATGACAGATGAACAAAGCCCAGAGATCCTATCATTGGGGTAGGGGTCTTCGGTCCGAACGAACTGAGGCAGGGAAGCTGCACACCTCGCGGCTTCTTGGTCAGCTCTTCGGGTGCTGGCGCCAAGGCACCCTCGCCAGCAGCCGCACCTTGGAGAGCAGGTCCCATCTGGAGGCTGAGTTGGAAGCGATCCACCAATGTTGGCGTGTGCCTTTCCAAGGGAGCAGGTGTTTAAACCAACGATGCTTGAACATGTTTAAACCAAGATTGTTTAAGCTTCTTGATGCAGGTTGCCCTTGAGAGAAGGTCCCCCATTGCTTAAAGCAAATGAAGGCTAGAAACAGCGCCTTGCAAGCTTGCGTTGCTGGTATAGAAGCGACAACCCCTGCCTCCAAACCCATGCCAGAAAATGGCATTCAGATGTGGATTGTCCCATGGGGAACCTGGAATTCAGAAATGATCACAAAGTGAAACAGCAGGGCTACTGGTGTTCGTAATGCAGCACAATCGCAACCTCAAAAAAGGGTGCTCGCAAAGGACTCGCCAAGGAATGGCTTGGGTGCTTGACAACATAATTGTTTTGCGAGTTCAGAAAAGGATAAATGCTTGTTCGTTTTTCTGGCTTCCACACAAAATCATCAGACTGGAGTGTGTGTGTGTGTGTGTGTGTGTGTGTGTTATGTAGAGGCAGTGCAATAGGCGGGCCATTGGCGACCCGAGTTTCGGTGGAGCATGGCATGCCGCCTGTTTAAGGAGTGGAGGACCCACTAAGAGCACGAGCCAATTAGGCAAAATGACGTGGCCCCTCACCGTTCGTTCCGGTTGGTTTGATTTCTTGGGTGACAAAAACGCAACAACTGCTGTCCAATCATAAATGATGTGAGCCATGTCCAATCATGAATGTTGTTAGCCACCGCATGCTCAACATCCACGCAAAGGAACCGCAAACGGATGGATCATTGTTCCAGGTAGGTCCAGCCTGCCACTTGCTTGCCACAGGTACGGTAGGGCGTCCTTCTCCAGCTTCACAGTGGGGAATATCCCGTGTTTGCTGCGACACATGTTGTTTCCCACAGTTTCGCAAAGCAAAAAACATACAAGACAGACGCAACGCGACGAGGCCAAGCCAAGCACAAAGCCCAGCTCGACGTCTGAGGCGAGAAGTGGCTGGCCCACGAGCGGGCCTCGTTCGGCGCGGTGAGGGCCAAGCTGATGGAACAGATGGAGCTCGAGAGGGCCCAGCTGGTGGCGCAGGATCGCTCGCGCGTTTCCTTCGCGTTTTGCGGGACTTCTTGAGTCAGGAGGGCGAATGTCGATGCCTTTGGCCGGTCATCCGAGGTTGACCGTTAAAGGAGAGGCGTTGACCAACTTAACGACAGGGAACCAACCCCCCCTCCTCGTTTTGGTTTGGGGGAGGGAGGATGTTGTGCTGCAAAAGGTTGACCTGGTGCAAGTAAGCCTATCCTCTCTGTAAGATTCTTTAGTTCGAGCGCTGGCGAAGACCTGAACTTACAGCCTTGAGGGGAGATTTAGGGAAAAGAGGTGGAGATTTGGCACATATTCAACCAAAAAGGGGGTCAAAGCTTACCCCTCCAGTGAAGAAAACGGGGGGGGGTCCATTGCAGCGGGTTTGGGACATGGCAGTGCTGACAGAGACTTTGTGCCAGTGGAGAACCAGTGAATCTTCGAGGCTCACCGTGCGTGTTAAGCCAAACAATCTTGCAGGTCGAGGATCTCACGCGTCAGCTTGCGGAGGAGGGGAAGCAGCCGCTGTGGCAGAAGTTCAGCCGAACCTGATCGGGGCTGTGTTTGAACCAACTGGAAAAGACCCATTTCAAGGGTTCCACGTTTGAGACAAGCCTAATATTGCATATTGAATGTACAATTTCCCTTGCCGGCCCCGTGGGAGAATGCTGGCCCCTAGTTGACACCCTTACGGCTTCTTCTTGAGCCCATTTTCAGAGACTCCCCTCCCTATGATGGAGTTGGGGCGATTCATTGGAGGGCAGGGGAGGGCTGCAACTGTGGAGATCAAGAGGTCCTTGTGGCCGTTGGTAGTTGCAGTCTGGGCCTCACACGCTTCAATGCCAGCGAATCGACCTTTCAATGGTTTCCCTTCTTGGGTCCTGGACAAACAGTGGCTTGCTTCTTTGTTGAAGATAGTGCTGGCGAGTTCACGTTGACGCCACGATTAGTTGTTTGTTTGCACCAGGTCACATCCGTGGGAACTTGAAAACTTCCGTGACTTTGGGCTTGGGATATCAGCCCGCAAGGGCCCCCCTTGCTTTAACGTGCATGCTGTCCATGGCAAGGCGTGCCTTGTTGCAAGACAACCTGAAGCGCGTGTTCATGCGCGGCGTTTGCGCGCTGAACTTCGAAGCCATGTCCCTGCTCCAGGACCCAGCAGGCAGGGCTAGCGTTTTGTTCTGATGGAGTTTGAATAAGTTTCACTGACAAAGGAGACACCAAGTGAAGCACACAGTAGAACATTGATTCTCTATATGTACAGAAGCGCAACTTGCTGTCAAACCCAATGCCGCAGACTTCGGGGCAAAGCATAGCGACAGGATTCCATCACGCCCTTCATGAAAAAGAACTAACGTCCACTTTTATCCAAGTGGCACTGTGGATCAGCATGACGCCCAACGCCTTAGTGATGGAATCTCCTTGAAGGAGCCCCATTTTGGGGTTCCTTCCGATGTTTAGGGGGCTTTCGCCGGCAGGTGGGGCTCCCACCTTGGCTGCTCCACTGGCAGGGGCCGTGGAGGTCCTTGCTGCCAGCCCCAGCCCAGGGTGGGCGCTGGGCGAAGGCTTCATGGAGGGAGCAGATGGGCAGGGGCCTTCTTCGTGGCGATGGCATCTTGTCAAGCCAGGTCTCCAGTAACTTTCTTTTGGAGGAGGTGTTCCTTTAAAGTAAAATAAATACAAAAAGTTTGATTTGGTGCAGAGGGCTAGCCCTCCGAAAAAGCAAGCGTGGAAACAAGGAGGCTCCCAGGAAGGCCATATTTTCTCGAGGAGCATTCTTGCAGGGGTAGCAATTCAGGATGCAACCCAGCTGGGTTGCCCCGTGTCAAGCAACCTTTTGACCACTTGGCTTCCTCTTAATGGACCCCCCACGGTTGCATGCCGCCCCCTCAGTTTGCCCCTGATCCCTGGTGAAGTGAGCTACCGGTTTTCTTCTACCATTGCGCCATCCACAGGAGGGCAGTGGACATGGGAAGGCCAAGGAGATCTGAGTTTACCTGTTGACTCCCTTGGACAAGCAATATGTATATTGGAATCTATTTGTCCTGTCCTATCCGATCAGATCCTGTCCTGTCTATTTAATTCCTGATTGTTTGTGTTTGTGTGTTTGTTTGTCAGTTTGTTTGTCTGCCTGCCTGTCTGTCTAGTTCTATCCAATTAAATCTAACCGAATTGTATCAAATATCATCTCGGCAAAATCTAATATGCTCTCTTCTAGTCTACACCAATCCAACTTACTCAAAATCAGATCTGGTCGAATCCAAACTCATCTAATCTCATCTGTTCTAAGCCAGCCTCTCCGTCTCTGGTCCAGGTCCAGAAGCCTTCCTGAAGGGAGCTGCATTTCTTTCTGAGCTCAAAAGGCAACCCCGGCGCGGAACCTCGCCAGGGCCAGGCATCCCGGAAGAGCCCAAGAAGGAGATCCCGCCCGCAATTCGTCCGAAATTCCCATCGCAGGCGTTTCTTACTTTAGTTAAAAGTTTGTTTTTTTCTCCGGTTAGTATCGCTGCGCGCAATAATTAGTGCACCGCTCTTTGGCTTTTGCGGTGGTTCCATCATATTGCTCGTTGTTCCGAGAGAATTGCCCCAGGGGTGGTCTGTCTGGTCAAGGAATAGCGTCCTCCTGCCAAGCAACCTGCGGAAGTGTTTGCAGGGGGTCACAAACCAGCCCAGTAGCTGTGGAAGAGCATGACTCCCTGGTTATTTCTCCAATCTCCCAGCACCGCCTGGGTGGGATGGGCGGAAGAAAGCAATTCGGAAGCCGGCTTCAATTCAAACCCACTGCGGGTGAAAACACTTCACTGTTCTCGACAGGTGTTGAGATCTGCCAGTCTTGTGTGCCTGCCCTTTTGTGGTTGGTTCTCAAACGAAGTTGCTTGAATGTCCTTTTTTCAGTTTCGTTAATGTTTGAGGGGCCCCTGTGCAAGGACGCCTGTCAAGTGGAATCCAGGTTCCCCCCCCCTACAGCTTAAGATGGACCCTGGAAAAGCCCATCATCTTTTGAGAAATTTATTGGTGTTCCACCCCTCGTTGGATTCCGGGAAAAAGCAAATCCTTCAAACCTTGCTGGTGCTCAGCAGGGGATGGGGAAATATCCCCGATGCGTCCCCTATGGTTTCCCTTGAGGGAATAGGTTCATTCCTCTGCCCTGGGCCATGCCCTGAGCACCAGCAAGAAAAGCAGGGGGGGGGGCGTAGGGGGTAACTCCGCATGCGGAGGAGCCCAAGACAGAGGTGGAGCCCCGGGAGGTGCGGCCGGAGATTTCCAGAGGCTGGGCCTGGAATCGGTTCCCATGGTTCGTTTTGATTGTTGGTTTAAAAACCGAAAAAATCCAGCAAGGGAAGTCCGACTTCTGCAGGAGCAGGGCCGAACAAGTCGTTGCTGGCTGAAAACGTGACTCTTGTCTCACATTCATAAGACAATGTGTTTGTGCGTGTGTGAAATGATTTAGCTCCTGGTAGTGAGACAGGTGTCATGTTGGCTCGCCTTGTAGTTTGTCCCAAGGCTAGTGCCCATTTCGGACACGGACTCAGTGCTGGCAGCTTGGCGCATTCCCCTTTCGCGTAGGCGTGGAGCCGCTGGACGACACCCTCCAGCCACAGGCGCAGAAAGGGGAGGGGCAACATGGATTGACTTGTTCAAAGGCCGACGCTTTGACCATTTTGTTCCCAGATTCGGTCCATTTGAAGTCATGGCCGCCAAAGAAATACCCTTAGCCTTCTATATGCAAGTGGCAGCCTCAAAAAGTCTGCTACACTTCGTTTCCGCGGCCGCCAGGTCAGCCCAACGCCTGCTCCTTTGCCTTTTGTCAGCTACACAGGGCCCACGGTCGTGGCGCGGCTGAAGGGCGACAGAGGGGACCCAAGCTGGCCCCGAAGTTATAACTTAACTTACACAAAGGAAACCAACAGGGAGTGTAGATCTGATTTTGCCTGAACTGTGTAGCACCCAGGGGATGCCTATCAACTGGCAACCACGCAGCAGCTGGGTATGAGAAAGTGTTCTGCGCTTTGATTGAAGAAAGCTTTAGGGACCTGCTCGGATCCCTCGACATTTGGGGGCTCCCATTCTTTGGGGCGCGGACATGGCATAGGACCTACATGCGGCCAAGGACCAGCTGAGACACATCCCAGTTCAAAACTTGCTGGCTCCGACCGACCTGGGTTTCCTAGCCTATCAACCTTCTTCATTTTAATCTGGTGTCGATCCACTTTCTGTCTTGGCAGCCCAAGAGCTTTGTCCATCTTTTCGCCGCTCTTCGGACAAGTGACCGCCTGAGCTTTCCTTAAGCTCCTTGGCTCGGAAGGGCACTGCACCAAACAGCCACAGGCTGCGATCTGCTGGCTCGCGTTTGCGTTTGAATTGCCGGACTCGGCCAAACTTCTTTGTGTTTTGGATTGGCTATCACGTTGTTTGTTTGGGTGTGTCCGTCTTTCCCTAGTTGTGCTGCAAGAACGAAAACTCTCAAAACCTACTCTCACGAGGATCGAGAAGAACATGGTTTGCACTGATGTGTCTGAGTTGTGTCGCATAAAGTAATATACTACAAACCCTTCCGCCGCGAAACAGCGAACCATGTTGCTTTATCGTGGACCGGCATGAAAACCGGAAGGCGTGTAGAGATCAACCAGGTGGCTTGTTTGCATAGGTTTGAATCTGCAACATCTGAGCAAAGCCTACTCGACCTCAACGGCTCATTCAAATTCATCGATGGTAGTAGTTTAGTAGGTCAGCTACATATTACCAGTATAGCAGGGATTCGCACGGGCTTCAGGAAAGACAGTAGGTTGTCCCCCTGCGAGGCCAGTCACAGTGCATGATGGTGTTAGATTGAAACGTGCCAAACCGAAAAGTATAGACAGATGAACGTCCAGAGAAAGAAAGAGAGACAAAGAGAGGGAAAGAGAGAGATACAAAGAAGCGAAATAAAGAGAGGGTGCCAGTGAATCCCACTGTCGTTTACTTTGGATGCAAATCGAGACGAATGTGTGGACAGACGCTAGGCTAAGGTCAAACAGTAAACACCCCCCTTTCCAACAACGATAAACGTTCACAGGAGGGTCTCGGAAGACTACTGTCAGCTTCACAGAAAGCCTCCTGGCCCTGGCCACTTGTGTGACCGTTGGAAAAAAAAGTAGAGAGGACCCCCAAAATTGTGGCTTCCCTTTTGATTTCCTATTGAAGCCAGCCAAAAGGGGGTAGTACCCTCACTGACTTGTCCTTTTCCAAGTCCCGAAGGCAGAGCGCGCGCGCAAGGCCACAGTGCCAAAGCACCTTGGCCAGCCACTGGCAGGGTGGGTGGGTTTTTCCGGTCGTGCAACAAGTGCCTAGTGTGGGTCCAACTTCTTCAACTAGCGCTGGTATACGGCCAAGTCATGTGTTGTTAGCCAATGCCACCAATGCGAGCAAAAAAACATGAACATGTGTGTGTGTGTGTGCTCGATACGCTTGCAGCGAATCCAGGCCGATCTGGCTGAGATCCACTTCCAAAGCAACATTGTTCCTTGATATAAGAGCTGGTACTCTTGAAAGGATGCTGTTTTCCAGGGCTA